TGCCATCTCTTCATCGAACGACTCATCAGTCAATAGTCACGATCGAACACTCACGATCTTTCTTGCATCAAAGTTTTCTGATTCTTACCCCTGCGATAATTATCTGCAACTATTCGTCCCCTTGCTTTGAGAAAAAAGAAGAAAAAAAGAAACTCCACCATACTGCGTATAGATGCCCCCGCCGTGCCGAAGGACTCACAGTCACAGGCTTCTGGGCTCGCCGCACTCCCCTTCCGCACCGCCGCCCGCCCGAAACCCAATCCATCCACCGCACCCCGGCGGAGACGGGGGTGGGAATCGTCGTGGAGCGGCGGTTTGTTAGAGAACGATGGATCCTCGCGGTGCGGGTACAGGTTGCGGGCGAACTCCTCATCCAGTCGTCCAACTTTGAAGCGAGCACTCACTGATTATCCTTACTCTTGTGAAGAGAGTCGAGACCTTTTTTCGTTATCCACAATAGAGTTGATCTTGATTATTCTGGACCTTGGATTTTCTCTCTCACTTGCCCGCTTTCCCACTGTACAGCCGTGACAGCGTAATCCAGTGGACCCGGATTGTGCCAGATCCATCCCCCCCCCCCTCCTTATCAATGGAAGCAGATCATGGACCCCAGGAAGGCTGGAGTAAGGTAATCGTAGGAATGATATGATTGCATACGCGCGTGAAGATCTTTCCCAGTCTTCGGAAGCCGTGGCCGTAGCCTACCTTATGGCCTCAAAAACCCCTCTTCACACACGATCTTCCTCTTATCTGATCTTCCTTATCGATAAGACTCAATGATTCCCATGCAATGGAAGATCAGATCGCCTTTCTCAAAATTCGCCATCGTGACCTCAGTATTCCCCATGTGCGGGCCGCCGCCACCCCCCTCATGCTCTAAGGTAGAGTAACGACGTGATCGATATCGACAATCACAGGTCGTCATCACGCGATCTTCCGGTACGCTGCGGAGTAGACAGACGCGATTGCGTGCGCGCGAGGCGAGACAGAAGGACTCGATCTCTGTCCCTGGCTCATCTATGCCATTGTGCACAATTGACACTTTGTCGAGGGGTAAACTCCCCTTCCCCCGCTCCCTACTCTCGCCTACAGCCTCAAATGATCGACGGGGAGGGGGGGAACACACAAGCAAAGGCAGATAGGGTCCAGGACTCCAGGACTCCAGATTACAGCCCCCTTCACTCCTGAAGTCTGGCCCCCTTCACGCCCTCGCGCCCTGAACCGAAAAAACCCCACGCCCGTAGGACTTTCAGGCCCCCAGGCCCCCGGGGCGGTGATTGATATCAATCCCCGTCAAATGATGCCCTGCTCGCCAGCGTGTCTTTTGTCTCATCCAGGGTAATTTGAGATGAGGTGTCAATCCTCCCCCAACCTGCACGCACTTTGCAAGTTCTGTGCAGGGCACCGCTTTGACCATTTTCCCCTTCGCCTTGCTCTACGAGAAATAAGAAAAGAGTTATCCCCAGTCAGTTCACCCAGTCAAAAACCTCAAGAGCCCAGCGAAGAGGTTGGGCTAATTTCCCATAATGCTTGTAAACCTGTACGTGCCTGTCTAGGGCCGCCCCAAAATCCATCCCCAGGAACTAAACCCAACCCTCCAAGGCTTCACCGCCCTGCCTTACCTTTGGTTTGTATTTTTTTTTTCCTCCCCAACTTTCCCATGCTGCCTGCCGTGTTGAGGCCCTCCCTCTCCCACAGCCGCAGGTAAGGTAGACTTGGGTAAAGTAACCCCCGGGATTGATAAAAGGGACAGCAGATACTTCGTACCCCGAACGAGGGGCGGTCAAGCAAAAAAAGACATTACACATCGTGGGTTCATGGGATTGTAACTCTCCCACCGCTGCCAAGTGTGACGGAAGGGGTGGTGTTTGTCAGACCTAGACCATCTAGGCCGGTACGCTACTCTCACAAAGGTGCATCCGATAATTTTTCCATCCATCCAACTCCGTACACCAACAAAAATACACGGAATCTTGCCGAGAAGTTTTGTATTGACTCGGGTCGGGGCATATACTATCTAGATAGTCTGTAAAATCTGCAAACCAACTCACAGGTGCATATCCGCTGGTTGCCGTGTGTCACGATAGAGAGAACCATCTACCCGAACCACCCCTCACAAAACCCCAACCTAACCCGCGGGATTCAAACGTCCTGAATCAGGAAGAACAACGCAAGTGAAACAGAAACAAGCGTGCCCGCTGTCTCGTCACACTCGAGTTCTGCGTTATCCGTACCTACTTTACCTTTACTCCCACCAGTCTGAATTAGGCTTTCCGTAGCCGAGACTGGCGATCAAAAAAATTGGATTCGACTGCACGCATAGTAATTGACTGCATGCTAATATGCCTGCCGTTAGCTACTACTACTCCCGCCGACGCTGCCGGCTCGGCCAAGGCTTCCGACGGGCAGGCGGGAAAGACTGGATCGGCAGAGTGCACCACCACCACCAACACTACCTTTAAGCCGTCCCGGCAGCGTGCATGTCTCTCACACTCTTTGCCCTTATCGCCGGCCGTGTCGGCTCAATCGTGAACCTGCCGACCCGCGTACCAGCGAAGTCGGACGCTGAAGGCGTGGTGGTTGCCGGCGTATGTCTGAAGACCGGATGGATAGACCGGATGAATCATTTCAAATGGCGGCAGGCAAAAGACACACACCCTCCTTCTGTGGCCTCATCGCTTCCATTTGCCAGTCCTAGTATTTCCTGCATATTACCGTGTGAGATTCGAGCATTTGGTTCTGGAGGGTACTTGGCGTGTCCGCATCGTGGATAGGGCAAATGGGGATGCCCAGCGAACAGGCCGGTTCGCCGACGAAGCCGTAAAAGTACGGTAGTCAAGGACTCCGGGCGACCCTCGCCAAAGACTTTCACAAGCCAAGTCCAATTGTGGTGCCATTTCAATCCTGCCTTTGATCTGCCAATCTTAAAATCTGGCAGTTCAGATCTCCGTTGGGGTCTTTCGGTTGCTGGCTGCGCCTTATGTCAGCGCGGGATGACGGTGGCCTCGGCCTCGAAAAAGGGCCGCGCTCGGGCCCCTATGCGCACCACGTGTCTCCACGTTCGGGTTCCGAGGGAACAGTCTGGCACCGTCCACGGGTGGAAGGGCGGATTTCTGGCAGGGCAATTGCGGGTGGTTGTCTTCTCCGTCGGTTCCTTTGGTGTCCCTGGGGCTTATCTCCTTTGGGTTCGCCGTCTTCAGTCGGACGGGATTCGTCCGTCCGCGCGCCCTGATGACTGTCATTGATTTTTCCTCTGTTTTGGCCTCGGTGACTCGCATTCGCTGTCGCGGCCGCGTTGCACACCCCCTCCCCAGCGTACCGTAATTGTGTACGCGGGATGCCACACCGTACACGCCTTTTCCGCTCGCTCGTGGGCTTCGTATCGTCGTAATCGTTCTTTTTTGGCGTCGTCTTCATTTTTTTCTGCCTCTTGATTTCCACTCCAACGTCCCAGCTGCGCCATGCTTGCCTCGCAATCGTTTTTCTTTTCGGTGTCAATCGAAAATCCATCAGACCAGTTCAAATCAGATCATCGTCGCCGTTCATCGTTCACCAGCGGCGTTCATCCGTAAAACTCGGGTGAATAAAATATCGTGACATCGGGTTCGTCGGCGACTATCCGTACATATCCTCGGTGACATTCTTTTGTGCAAGTCGCTTCGGGTGCGACGGCGCGGAATATGTGATGAATAATTCGAATCGCTGGCGTCGGCTTTTTCGCTGTTTGCTCTTCACCTGCACCATTAACCACGGGCCTAACCTAACCTCCAGGCAGCCTAATTATTAATTCCGTCTTTTTGCGGTCAAGAAAAGGACTGTACGGCGGTAGCCCGGTAGGGGAGGGTAGTTAAAACACACCGCCAAAATCCGAATGCCATGAGGAACCCCCTCGTGATTCGTCCACGATACGGGCAAGGCAGCGGCGTTAGTGAACAACGGAAATCTGTAAGACGGTGACTGTCCTGAAAGATGACTAGATGGGAAGGCAGGGGGGGCGTGTCGATAAAATGTCGGGGCGCGGAAATCGGTCGCTCGTCGTCGTGGAATTTGCTTTGTAACCCCCATTCGTGGCAGGCAGGCAGCTCGGCTTCGAAGGGTGAGGTAAGCGAGCGAGGGGTTGGCGGGCGGGCACCTGAGCAGCTGGAGCGAAAGTGCAGGTTGCAGGTCCACGGGTGCTTGGAAAGACCGGAGGTTGAGCGACGCCGATCTGCCGAGATCGCAGGGCGCATCCACCAACCCTCTTCGGGTACCTGGGCGAAAATGGTAGGCCTACGCAGTACCTACTCCGTCAGAGAAGGAAAAAAAAAAGTCGATTTTTGTGAGGTGCGCGGTTGGAGTCGTCGTAACGCGCAGCGGCGCATTGTAACGGCAGGTCTTTGCTGAATCATGTGGTCTGCCTAAATGACTCGGTCAGCGCGCAAGTTTCATCCAACACTCCTACTGCCGCCCCGACATGAGGCGAATGGAGAAGCAATGATGATGCAATCGTGACTTACTTTTGTTGTCGTGTTGTTTTTTGCTCCAAGTCCTCGAAACCAGTTGATCACAGTACTGCAGAGGACAGGGGGTTTGATTTGATTGATTTTTCAATTGGTTGTTTTGAAGCTTCGCTTTTGAATAGGGCACTGTTTGACCCTTAAGCGGCTATCTATCTGGTTTCTGTAACACATGTTGCTGGTACCACTCAACCGCGGACTGGAGCCCGGGAGCGGGAAGACAGCTGAAGAAAAGAAAAAATTCCAGTTCCATTATCCATCAGGGTCCTCCAAATAGGCACCCCATGCTTTCTCATTGCGACATATAGGAAAGTAAGATGAGAGAGAAGAGTTGAGAAGACATTGCTGTCGTTTTGTAATCCAAGTAATTCGTAACCCATGCCGTTGTAATTTGGTATCGGTGACAAATGATAAACGCCGTGATATATGCAAACGCTCGCTGATGTAAAAGCCAAAGAAGAGATCATGTTTACAAGGTAGTGTGTGTGCTCTCGAGTGTAAGACTTAGTACACTGAGATGGCAGACACGAGCCTTGCTGGGTTGCGGGCCGGCAGGTAGTAGCCTTCAGAGTAGAAGGTGCCGTCGCCCTGTTGTGATTGTTGTTGAGAGATCTCTTCCTTGGCCTCCTTCTCGTTGAAGGTGAGCACTGCGTTTGGCGGTGATGGGGGCATCGACTCGTCGTCTGAGATGTCAGAGTCGTGCTCGTGCTCGAGCTCTGGTGGTGAGCTGGAGCTGGAGTGGGATGGTGTGCGGACGAGCTCGAGCTGTGCGTAATCCTCCTCGAGGTCGTCCTCCTCCATGTCGTAGTCTTCCGAGACCTCGATGGTAGATGTTCTCGGAGAAGCGGGGGCGGCGGAGGGCATGCGGCGGAGGGAGACGGTGTCGGCCATCTCAATATCATCCTCCTCGTAGTCGTCGTCAGAGGAGACGGAAGAGTCGTCCGAGTCGGAGGAGTCATCCTCGTAGAGGTCCTCCGAGTCCTCGGCGATGGAGTCGGCCCATTGGATGTGACGGTCCTTGGTGGCAGCGGGAGCGGACTCGGTCTTGGTGGCACCGCGGACGGACTGGTTGAACCAGCTCTCTTGTTCCCGCTCGGCATCGGCGAGCTCAAGCATGAGGGAGTCGAGGAGATTGGCGTGGCCGACGAGAAGGCGGAGGTCGTGGTCAGCGCGGGCAGCCTCAGAGGAGAGCTTGGCCCGGGCCTTGTGGGCGAGGTAGTAAGTCTGGGTGATGCTCATCTTCTTCTTTTGGACGGCAAGGCGGAGGGGTTGTTGTGTGTGAGGAGCAGTGAAGGTGGAAGTTGTGGTAGTTGTCGACATTTTGTATGACTGTGCACCAATGGTGACTGATATGTCGCGATTTTGGCTGGTATGACTCAAAGCGAGATCGGGGGGTGCAAGATGCAGTGGGGCAGGGATGCCTGGGCTAGTTGGCTTGGTCTGTGATGATGCTTTGGTAATCTTTTTGGAGTATACCAGATGAGGCGGCGAGATGGGATGGCAAAGAGGCAAGGTCGATGATGGTTATATAATAGTTCAGGTTGGAAGATGTTTCTTCTTGAGAGGAGTTAGTATCGATCTTGTGTCTTGGTCTGTTGAAGCTGAGGCTGGATGATGGGATTTCTCTACATCTGGTTGGGAAGGGGAAACACATTTCTTTTAACTCAGGTTGCTCCGCTGTGCTGGCTGACCTGGACTTGTCGGGCTCGGAGAGAAGAAAAGTGAGGGAGGAGCGGTGACAAGGGGAGGGGTGTGGGAGCGAAGGGTGTGCAGGTGCAGGGGGTGGATGACCCATCGGGGGGTGTAAATGGTGGGGTGGGGTGTGGATGTGGGTGTGGGCGGGAGTTTTGCGCGATTGCGAGGTGCGAAGTGCGAACCTTCCTAAGCAGAAAAATTATGAAAGCGATGAGTCTTTCGCTGTGCCTGCAGAAAGTGGGGCTTCTCTAAGCTCCGTACCACGGTACCCGTTCCTCCATCGTGGACTTTGGGCGGCGTTTGTCATCAGCAAGGCCGAGGGTGCTTCCCGAGCCTCCGCCAGCTGGAGATTTGTCGCTGCGGGCTGCGGATGGTGTTCGGACTTTTGGAGCTTACCTACGCTGCCGCCGGTCGGTGCGGCGTAAGTGTACGGTTGCCCGTCACTAGCAAGCCCAAGACGCTAATCCGGTTGTCGTCGTTGTCGTCGTCGACGCTACCAAAGGGCGCCCAGAAGAAGTCTTGGACTCTCTCTGCGAGGTCTCGAGGGTCTGACGCACTCGGCGGAAACAACACAACGACTAACCGCGGACTGAGTACGTACCCCGAAGATCCGTAACATTCTACCCGTACATTATTGCTCTGCACTTTGTGCTTATTCGTCAGGTCACTAGGTACCTACCTCGCGTCTGATGGGATTAGCGTCCACGTTTGTCAGCCTGTTCTCGCTATTCTCTGTAATCAATCAATCAAGTCTTCCATCAGAATCGGCCACTAGACTTCTCCAGCGAAGCACGCACTCCCGCTAGTCTCGTCTCATCCTCACCCTCTCTTCCCATACAGATTACAGAGTACCTTAGCGAGTAGAGTTTGTATTCATCATCACCAAAACGGAGACAGGAATTAGGCATAACTCCCATAACTCCGCACCGACCAGCAGCTGGATTCATCACCAACCTTACTCTACCTACCACCCACCGCAGCCTGGCCTCTACACCTTTCACCCTGTCCGTCAGGCGCGTCATCTCTTGGTCGCTAGCTAGCTTCGTCTCGTCTGCCTCAATTTCCAATCTGACACGCCGTATCATCGTGAACACGCAGAGGTTATGCTTATGGTTCGCTTGCTGGCCTTGGCTCTCGGCCGCAGTCGCACGCGCACGCCTTACCAATTACCATAACCCGCCCGCTGCCTACAATCGCAATTACACACACACTCAGAAAAAGGGATGATGGCTCATTTCCTATACTCTGTAACTCGCACCATGCACGCAATCTGCGACAAGCTGAGGCCAGCAAGCGAGAATAGAAAGAAAAGGGAACGGGCCTCGTAATGTCAATAGCGGGATTCCAGCTCACTCACGACGGGGGTATGTTTTGCTTAACCCCGTCCCAAGGTGCCATCCCAAGAATTCCCAATTCCCCTTGATTGTCACAATTGCCAATGTAATACCCCGGGGCCAAGGCTGAAGGGACCTGATCTGATGTCGCTCCCGTTCCCCCTTTGGGATAATGACAGTTCACAGTACTCCGTACCCCCCGGCATTCTGTACGGATCACCTGGGGTGAGAGAATGGACAAGTTGGGAAGCCTAAAAGTACTGCGCCGAGAGCCGTTGCTACCTCAACACCTCACAGGCTCACCCTCAACCCCGGTCGACCGCCAGGGCCTCATGCTTTACGGCGCCGAGACAAGGGATTACAGTACGGCCGCGAATTGTGCGAGTGCGCGCGGGGGTTAAGCACAGCACAACACAGCTTGGTACGAATCCCCTGGCCGCTGCTCCTGCTGCTGCTGCTGCTGCTGCTGCACCGCCTCCTCCGCCGTCGGCTCCGTCCACGTCCTCCTGCGAGTGCGAGCAGTGCGAGCTTGCGAACCGGGGGCCAGACGACGGGGGATAGAAATCTGCGGAGAGATTAGATGCTGGCCAGCTGACTGCCTTTCTCGCGCGGACACGCGCCAATCAAAGGCCCTTGCGAGCTGGACACTAGAGACTGAAAGTACGAAAGTACGAATTCCATCTGTAGGGATACACGGAGTAGATCCGTACGGATTTACGAATGGCCCCGAGCCACACACTCGTTTTGTAGGGCTGAGCCTTGAGGAGAGACTGAGAGAGCAACGTAGCAGGAGTCTCATCGCCCTGCCTTTTACACGTATTACATTACGGGACCCTTACTTTCCTCTTACTCGGCCGGGTTAGGCCTAACGCCCTTCGCTCTCGGCATAACTTGCTTAACTTTTTTGCTGCCTTTTCTCAGACAGAAAGTACCTTACAGTTGGTGCCTGGAGTCCACGTCTTGGGGAGACGCGGGCAACCCAGCCACAGGACCCGGAAAGGCCCATGATAAGTCGGAGCCTGAAAGCAAGGTACGGGGTACTCTAACTCCACAGCCCGGACCATCGCGAAGAACTATTGCCCCGGGCGACGGGGTTCATTCGAACGGGGGGCCACCGCAGCAGGGCGGGAAAGCGACCATACTTTGGACGAAAAGCCTGATCGGCCGGGCCTGAAACTTTTTTGTCTAGATACCCAAAATTGCCTAATACAGTCCAACATACCTAAGGTAAATAATTTGGCTTCTCGGGCTCGAATCGATCTATTCGATCTACAGAGTGGAAAGATCAATCAAGTATCAGGAACAAGCCATTGCGCATCGCCGACTTGTTCCTGTTTCCACGGGGACCATAAGCCAGCAAGATGAGGGAAGGGAAAAAAGCAAGGATGGTGACGATGATGACCCGGGAATCACGAAGCCCGCACCGCCCGGGGGAGCTCTGAAAGGCATCAAGTGATGAACCATAGGAAGAAAACCCACCCCGCCGAAGTTTCCCTCCGACTTTGCCCATACCGAAAAGACAAAGGGCCGCATTCTGGGCATTAGACGTGCCCGAGAAAGATTGGGGGAGAAGCGTCGGAGACGTTTCGGCACCGCGAATCGGGGCACGGAGCAAATGCCAAACTGAAGGGGCAGACCAACTCTAAAAGATTACGCTCACCACTTGACACCTAAACAGCCACAGATTGACGGTGGAAATCAGGTAACATGGCTCATCTTTTGGTCATCGAGTCATCAGTCATCCGGGCAGATCTGGCTGGGCTGGGCTGGGGCACCACGCGAATGGCAGGCAGGGGTTGGGCGGTCTTCAAGCCACGAAAACGCAATTCCCATTCTCACACACCCCTCCTGAGTTTCTGTAGGGCAGTCGGTCGGTCAGTTGAAATCGCCGTGCTCCGCTCCGCTCTGAGTCGAGATGAGCCATCGATTCTACTCTACTCTACTCTACTCCGTCCTGCCAGTGGCTCAGTCCCAGTCTGCCAGTCAGTCTGCCTACATACGACTTACTTCCGCCTATACGTTCATACGTGGACGCGGGGGAGACGAGGATATGGTGCTGTTCAGGTCAGATCAGAACCCACGGCATCCTTGAGAGCGTGGCTTGCTGCATGCATGCCCCGTAACCTTCTTACACCACCACCACCACCGTACTTCTTCTCTTTCGCTTTCGCCGTTCAGGTTTTACCCGTGAGATTGGTTCATCCAATCGCGAGGCCGTTTGACAGAGACGCAACCCTCGATTGGGCCTGCCCTATGTACTCTCAGTCTCGCGTGAGATGGGACCATCGATTCCAGTGTTACACACACGCACATGAAGCATCACGACGAAGCTCTTACGAGTACCCTACCATTGACAAGCGGAGGCCGGCGAAGGGGAATCGGAAGGGGGCGTGGGATCAAGACCCGCCCGGCCGCTTCTGCTTTTTGTGTGCGCGCGTGATCGCCAACTTCTTGATGTTATTCCGGCTTCCCCAGTGTTGCGGGATTTGGGGGCCGGCTGTGCCTGGGCGGGAAAGCTTCCAAGCTTACTCCGTAGTACGGAGTATCTACAGCTTACAGGCTACCGTACCAAACCCCACGATCTGCACAAAATCCCGGATTGGGACGAGTAACGGCGGAATACGGGCGCCTACGCGGTGCGTGTGTAACGAAATCCATTCGTAAACCCCCCTTCCCGCAGCCCGTGCCGTATGGCAGTAGGTAGACGGGTAGCGATCCCTAAAGCTTTTCGTAGACGGGATGAAAGCATTTACTGTTATTGTCCCGGTGTCTACCGGTCTTCATCTCCTTCCTACCTTTAATTCTCCCGATTTCCTCCGTTGGGAACGGAGGAAACAATAAAGACGTGGGGGGTTCCCAGAAAGAACGGTCCCGTGTCGTCCGAAAGATAATGAGCGGAAGGGGTGCTTTGACGATGAATCCGGATTTAATGCGGAGGATAACGGGAGAGAGAGAAGAGAGAAGGGGGAGGAGCTCGGCATCTTTGAAAAGCGGCCGTCTGATGAAGCGTGACTGTTTTCTGTTTTGGACTCTTCAAGACCCTTGAGTCTCATACTTTCGAGCCCTTCCGAACTACCCGCACGGTTCACTTGTTGCCGTGGCCCCGACGGCCGGACGGACGGTCACCTATGAAGTAGATCGGCGAGTAGAGGAGAAAGCTGGACCCCGCCAAACCAACACTCTTTCACACGTGAGAGAGAGAGAAATGTGCAGCCGGGGCTCTACGGAGTAGGACAGGTGAAAGAGCCATCAGTAATCAGTGAAATCCGTGAACGGGAATCCAGCCCACGC